AATGCGGGACATAGTATATAAATGAAACGGAAATGCTCCACATAATGTCTTCCACCAGTGAGGGTTCACCCTTTCCACTTTTAGGCAGAGAAAGTGAGGGATTTATCAAATTTAATCAGGGATTTCATTTAGCCAGAGCCTAGCTGTAGCTGTGAGTAGGATCCAGCACCCGCTTGGATTATTTATATTCCTATGGATGGAGTGAGGGTAGGGGAGGTGAGAGGATAAGAAGCTGGTTATGTGAGGGTGATGGCAGTCTCAGCTCTTAAACCAAAAAATAAAGAAAGCTGCAAATGAGCACTGGATATTTAGATAGAAGATCATGGGGCCGCTGGAAGAGGAACACTTCAGCATCACTATCCTGAGTCTTAGGAGCAGCACATATGGTTTTGGCCATGTCTGTGCGGGCTTATGTCTGAAGGAAATAGTTGCCAAGATAACTGGACTTTTGCCTTTCACTAACTATTATAGCCTAAGACAAAGATTAAATTGTGTGGCCTTATGAAGTACTTTTAAAAGTTTCTTAAAATTGCTTCATTGAAAAACTTCCACTTATTGCCCAAAATAATATTATAACGTGGAATCTAAAATTTAAATAAAAATTACCCAGAATCCTACTGCCATAATGATTCAACTGCTTTGATTTTCCTTGCTGCCTTCCATTCTTTTGTATATAAACACTCATATATACAGACTCATACAAACACACACACATATACTTTTCACATAATTGTAACCATGGTGTGTATGCGATTTTCCTTCCATTGCCTTTGAAGTTTAAGTTCAGTTTTTGACTCATGTTCATCAGCAAATCAGCAAAGGGATTGAATTCTTTACTTCATTCCTGAATTTTAATGCTTGTTCCATTTTGCCATTTTTTAATTAACTAAGTTAGGTTATATTTAGAGTGTGGTCAAGAAAGTACAGCACTATTCAACAAACACATATTATTTTTAAGAGAATACATTAGATCTTGCATCGCTAGAGAAAGTATTACAATTTTAAGTTCTTCTACCAGTTGTGAAGATTTAATAATAATTTGCCTGTTTTCTTTATTTAGAAAGATTTATTGAAAGCTGCTATGTGCTAAGTTATCTGTGACGTTGTTTGCGAAACTTGTACTACTCTTTCCACAGCCCTTCCCATTGCTGCCTGCTCATTCTTAGGGCTCGACATGAGTCACCTCCTCATTCCTGCCTTCTCTGGTATCATTACCCTATATTCCCACCTACTGCACCTTGAAATTATTTTCTGCAGTCCATTTGTAATTACACGTTTGTTTAGTTACTTATTGAATGCCTCCTCTAATCTTCTCTAAGCTCTCCTAGAAAAGGAACTGAATCTATTTTGTTAACCAAGATAAAGTCACATAACATTTTTTAAAAAGCTGGTGGATGGGAGCCAAAGTGTGGAGGAGGGTGTTTGTCCTCAGAGAAGAGGATGGTGGCTGGGGACGCCCCCTGAATTCCTCCCATGTCTTATTTACTGCTGTATTCTCAGCACCTAGCACAGCGTACACGCTCACTATATATTTGTTGAATAAATAAGTATTAACATGAATTGACTTTTCATTTCCTGCAAATCTTAAAATCACCCAAGGGAAGAGACAGTAAATGTCTGTCTATGCTGCAGGCATTGGAGGGATTTGGGTGAGCGTGGTGGTTACCCACAAACTTGAGAGGTGTGAGTTGTGTTGGCTCCTGCCTCCCATGCCCGCCTCCCTTCTGACAGTGTGTAGGTTGACAGAAGGAAGCATGGCAGTGGTTTTGACACCCAGGTTGCCATTTGACAGTGTCCACTGGATAGAATTCATAGGACTCATGAAAGAATATATGTTTTATTTGGTTGAGGGCCAGAATTTTCATTTGCTTACATCAATCTGAGTCTGGAAATTCTGAAATTTGCTCACTGGTGATATCTAAATTAAGGATGATGCCCCTATTCATTTTTGCTTGAGAACTCCTTTTTAAGCATAGCGGTGAAGAAATCCGATTTCTGGCATTTCCTTATACATTGAAATTTTATCTGACTTAAGAATCACTATCAAAAGTTCTATATTCGTGCAAGAAACATGCTGACTTAGTATCTAGGCAAACTGGATAAGTGTGACATTGGTATAAAATATTGAAGATGTACATGTTATATAAATGTGTAAGTATATAAATAAATGCATTATTAAATACATCAATATATGTTGAAAAGCTATATATTATAAAAAATGCTTCCTCAACCAAATTGGAATTTTTCTTCCATATACTATTTGGTAATGTTCTTTTTCACTTAACATTATATGTTGTTAAGAATTTTCACCCTGGCTTGACTTTAAAGCCAAATATAACACATTTTGAGTTACTTTTATGTATATTTTATGCTTTTTCCCCTTCTTAGTATGGCTATAGAAGAACATCTATGCAACATTATGACCAAATCTGTTATTCGGCCAAACAACTTTGGAAAAATATCGAATTTGTGACTATTTACATATGTAATATAATGGTGAAATGGCCTACAACTGCGTTCTGTGTTTTTCCTTGTATGTGAAAGTAAAAGCAGTCCAATTATCATCAGTATTTACTTTACCTGAGTCTAGGGCCCACTTACTTGTAGCTTTCTTTCTTTTTTTTTTTTTTTTTTAATTCTTGAGACAGAGTCTTGCTGTGTTGCCCAAGCTGGAGTGCAGTGGCACGCGATCTTGACTCACTGTAACCTCTGCCTCCCGGATTCAAGCGATTCTCCTGCCTTAGCCTCCTGAGTTGCTGAGATTACAGGCACGCGCCACCACGCCTGGCTAATTTTTTTGTATTTTTACTAGAGATGGGGTTTCACCATGTTGGCCAGGCTAGTCTCGAACTCCTGACCCGTGATCCATCCGCCTCAGCCTCCCAAAGTGCTGGGATTACGGGCATGAGCCACCACGCCTGGCCACTTGTAGCTTTTCATCAGAGATGCCAGAATTGATATCTTTCAGTCTCCAGCTTGAGATGGGGTATTAACTCCCAGGACTCATAGTAATAAGTAGGTGTCATTTAAATAAAAGAATCATTTATGCATAGCAACCTTGGCCTCTTTCTCTCCCATGAGTGATGCATTGGTGTTTACAGAATATAAAGATGAAAATCTTCGTGAGATGAAGGGAGTCAAACTAGGTTAGTTCTTTAATGTTTTCATCAAGGAACAAGTTTATGGAGCAAGAGAGATAGCAACTGTTTATCCAACTTGCATCAGCTTACCAACCACACACATCCAACAACAAAAATCCCCCAAAGTTGCCCTTCAGAGAAAAAAATCTTTTAACCCACTCTACTCTTGCACTGACATAGAAATGTGGTTAAGAAGTGAATGGTGGAAGAGACCAGAATATACTAACATTCTTAAATGTCAGTTGGCTAGTATCCAACTGATAGTAACTTTAGAGAAGGTAACTTTCCTTATTCTTTCTTAAGGTACTATAAGCTACACTCAAATATGTTTGAATGCCTTCTTACATTTTGGAACAGCCTAAGAGTCACTCATGGGACCTTCTTAGAACATTTTTTATGAAAGCTGTTGGGTTTGTCAAGGTTTACTTTAACTCAAAATACAATAATTTCATGAGATCACTTGTTAATAGCTAGTTGGTATTAGCAGTTGCACAGATAAACTCCTATTTTATCACTCCTTGACTATGGTTAGGATGTATGATTTTCAGGTAGCATTTCCTTAACTATCCTGTGGATTGCTTGTTGCAATTTGGCCCAAGGTACATGACTTTTTTTCTATTGGAAAATTAACTCTAATATTCATATATAATGTTTTATGGTGTACTTTTAATGTGTGTTTTAAAAATGATAATGTATATCTCTTCTTCCCCCCAATTTAACAGATTTGTATTTTATAAATGTTTATACATATTTCCTTGGGGAAGTGACCTGCAGATAAGAAACAGATTTCTATTTATGAGAAAAAAATTATTTAAGCTTATGCGTTGTTTTCAGAAGCATTCTAAAATTGCCTTTTTAATTTGTGAGAAACGTTCTCAAATATGACCTTTCTAGTGCTGAATGAAAAGTCATTACCTGAAAATGACTCCCCAGAGAACTGGAGATTATTTAAATTGTTGTGGGCCCCAACATCATAAAAGTGAGATCTTTGTCTTGGAAAATAAACAGACTAAATCTTTTTAAAACAACTTTTATTTTAGGTTTAGGGGTACATGTGCAGGTTTGTCATGTAGGTAAACTGCCTGTTGCGAGGGCTTGGTGTACAGATTATTTAGTTACCCAGGTAACAAGCATAGTACCTGATACCTAGTTTTTTTCCTGCTCCTTTTCCTCCTCATACCCTCCACCCTCAAGTGGGCCCTGGTGTCTGTTGTTCCTATGTGACCATGCGTTCTCATCATTTAGCTTCTACTTATAAGTGAGAATACGCAGTATTTGGTTTTCTGATAAACAAACTAAATCACAAACAAATTAAATGTATTGAGATGTCACTATGAGTCCCTCCCACTTGCAGGGTTCTGTATCATAGGATTCATGCACTCAACTTCACACATAAAGCAAGGACTTAAGGAGAGCTTCTCCAGTACCACTTTTGCACCATCGCTTTCTATTTAGAGATGACGGAGGCAGTATTTTAACAAGATTAAAGGAAAGTTTTAATAGCTTCATTTAAAAAGTTCTTGTTTTTCCACAATATCACAACTGTTTTCATTTTTCAGCTACCTGTTTGTTCTTTGTCCGTTTGCCTAGTCGTTTTTATCATTGTAATCACGACATCCTGTGACTGTGCTCATGAGGTCTGTTTATTTCCACTTTACGTAAACTTTTCAAAATGACAGTTATTTCGTACTCGCTCTCGCCCGAACACAGACGGGAGGACACTTGAGGAGCAATCGACCCAAAGGAAAAGCACGATTCAGGCCCCGCCTGCCTCGGCTTCACCTCCCACGGGCCCCACTCCCAGGGCCTCCGCCGCGGGACCCCGCCTTCCAGGCCCCGCCTCCCGGGGCCCCGCCCTGCTTTTTTCATCGCCCCGCCCCGGCCCGTCGCCATGTTGTTCCCTCCGCGCTGGACGGGAGCAGCTGGACCTGGAACCTGGCTGCGGTACCTTCGCTGCCTCCTGCTGTGCAGGTCCCCGACCCTCTCTCTGTCCTCATTGCACCCAGACGGGCCGGCTCAGAGCTCCCGGCTCGTCTTCCGTGTGGCCGCGAGGTGAGCGGGACTCAGGACTCCTTCGGGGTCGGGCGGAGCGCGCGGGTGTCGGGGTCTGAGGGGGCGGCTAGGGCCTCGGGCCGCTGGAGTGGGGTGCGGTGCGCGCGGGGCTAGCGCGGGTCACAAGGCCGCCCCGGGAGCGAGGACGGCTGGTTGTCTCCCTGCCTGCTGTCTGACGCAGGAGGAAAGACGGGTCCCCACACCTTTGGGGAGAGGGACGCACGGAAACACACACACACACACAGGGACGCACACAAACACTGGAGAGAGGGAGATACAAAAGCCCGGACACCCGTGCACATACACACGGAGAAATACACCCAGTCACCTGGGAACACACGTACACGCCAGCCTTTCCCCAACCACTCCGGGACGCACATCCACAGTCCCCAAACCAAATCCTACACCCGAGTGATTAATGTAGGGAAAACAAAGGCGCTCCCACGACTTGATTTTGGCGACCTCTGAAGTTCCACCTAAGCAGAACGTGTTTGCTCGATGTCTTATGACCACTTGGGTGAGGAATTCGGAAAGTAAAGCCAATCTTAGAGGCTGCAGGAGGTTTGGGGGCAGTATCTGATTCAGACGCTGGCTAACGTTTCACGATCGCGTTCCTTTTTTTCTTCCAACTCGGTAAGTAAAAAGGCAAGATGAGAAATTTACGTGCTGAACTTAATAAATAGTTGGTGGACGTATTGCCTTTTTTTTTGTTTTTTTTTTTTGTAAGGGATGACACATCTCGTGACTACAGTTCTTTTGAGGAATAACTTTTCTGCTAGTTTCCAAATCGGCACGTGACCAAAGTCTTTTCATAGGATTTTAGCGTCCTGATAAAAATCAATGGGCAGAATTTGATTGCTTTTTTAAAAATGTGTTTGTCCTTTGGTCTCTGGCACCATTGTAATGGAAAATCCCTACATTGCCTGTACTCTCAGAAGCTGTCCAGTGGAGCAAAACTAGAAATAAAGAAACCTGGAACGATTCAGTTAGGAACTTTTAAGAAGCCAGCCTTTAGTTTTTCCTTTAGAAGATTATGCAGTTATCATGATTGCTTCTCTAGAACTTCAGTGTGTTATTTGGATTCCTAAATCTAAGACAATGCTGTGGAAGTCTGGTGCTTTTAGTATTTTTGTGTCTGCTGTAGTAAATTCCTCGTTTATACTACAAAGTTTCTCTTTTGGAGACTTTTGGGATCTGGGCATATTTTTCGTTTATTATTTGGAATGTTAGAGTAGATAGGCAAAAACTAAGTAGAACATCTATTGGCTTTGACTCCAAGCCGGGTTCTTAAGAGATAAGGGGAATAATACCTTAGTTCTATCACTTCTTTTCCAACCTCTCTCATCTCTTTTTGTTTCTATCTCAACCATTTCTTCTGTCTAGACTACAGTACTCTGGAGGCCTAAAGATAAGATTTTTGAGTTCTCGAAATTATTATTTTTTTAGCCTCCCCTCATTTCTGGCGCGGTGAATATTCTGTGCGTGTAAATCCTGTACGTACATAATTTCATTTAATTTTCATAGCATTTCTTCAGTAAGAGCTCCATGTTACAGTTGAGGAATTTGGGGGGGGCATAAGAAGGTTTAGTCTGTTTTCCAAGATGACCCAGGTTGTGATGGGGTGGAGCGGGGATTCAAAGCAGATCTGGGTAATTTTAGAGTAATAGTTCTCAAGTGGAAGAGAGGACAATTTTGTCCTTCTAGGAGATATTTGGCAATGTCTGCAGGCATTTTTGGTTCACACCTGGGGGCAAGGGAGGTGCTGCTGACATCTAGTGGGTAGAGGCCAGGGATGCTGCTAAACATTCTTTTTTATTTTTATTTTTGTTATTTAATTTTTAATTTTTGCTGCTAAACATTCTATAACCTACAGGACAGCCCCCCACAACAAAGAGCTGTCTAGCCCAAAATGTCAGTAGTGCCACAGTTGAGAAACCTTGCTTTTCAGCAGTCCGAGTAATCCCAGAGCTTACATTTCAACTGCTTTTGTAGTTTTTTCAAATGCAATGTCATATTCCTATTTGGGATACTTCATCATTTTAACAGTGAGCAGGGGAAAATTCTCTCTACTGAGAAGCATATTTACTTGAAAGATTAAAGAGTGAGTGGCTGGGCACGATGGCTCACGCCTGTAATCCCAGCACTTTGGGAGGCCGAGGTGGGTGCATCACGAGGTCAGGAGTTCGAGACCAGCCTGGCCAACATGGTGAAACCCCGTTTCTACTAAAAATACAAAAATTAGCCAGGCGTGGTGGCGGATGCCTGTAATGCCACCTACTCAGGAGGCTGAATTCAGGAGAATCACTTGAACCCGGGAGGCAGAGATTGCAGTGAGCCGAGGTCACGCCGCTGCACTCCAGCCTGGGCGACAGAGTGAGACTCCATCTCAAAAAATAAATAAATAAAGGGGGCAAATAATTTCTGGTAGCAGAATCTGTTTTTTGTTTTAAGGCAAAAATGACAAAAAGAACTTTAGAGCTATTCAGAGCCATTAAAGTGGACTTAGACAGTTTAGTTTCTGCATTATTTCAGTTGTCTGAGCAGCCTGTGGGGCACTGATACAAAGGTGCTGATGAGAAGGGCAGTGGGAAGTCCTAACCTTCCTGAAACTTACAGTCCAATCACAGTCATAAGATTAGGTTCTGACATCATCCTAGAACAGAATTTATTGCCTGGGCTACTCAAGGACAGGGGCCAGGTGTTCATTTAAAAACAAAACAAAACAAAACAGGCTGAGTGTGGTGGCTCATGCCTGTAATCTCAGTGCTTTGGGAGACCCACACAGGAGGATCACTTGAGCCCAGAAGTTTGAGACCAGCCTGGGCAACATAGTGAGACACCCGTCTCTACAAAAACTAAACTTAAAAAAAAATTAGCCTACCTCAGTGTGGTGGTGCATGTCCCAGCTACTCTGGAGGCTGAGGCAGAAGGACAACTTGAGCCCTGGAGTTCAAGGCTGCAGTGAGTCATGATCGCACCACTGCATTCCAGCCTGGGCAATAGAGTGAGACCTTGTCGCTAAAAAAAAATAATAATAATTAAAGAAAACAACTCCACACTTGGCACAGAAGTACCTGTGTCATGGTGTTTACTGTGGGCAGACTTAGATGAAATGGGGAAAACTTGATGTGTTTGTTACAGTTTTGTACGGTTAACCACGTGTGAATATTTACAAGAATCCAATTGAGAAGCCATTCTTGTTGAGCATAAAATTCATCCTTAAATTTCACCTCACCAGAGAAATAGTTATGCCTGCATTTTGTCACTGGAATCAAGAAATAAATGATGAATTTTTTAATGACTTTGCCATAACTTTCTGGTGTTTTCCAGTCTTTTTTTTCATTTTCATGCCTGTTTAAGAGCAGACCTTTCAAAATATGTACTGCTTCATTCTGGTGGCAGAATTAGGTGAACTTTGGGAGGGAATGGTTGACTGGAGCAGTCAAAAAGGATCGCATCTCTTTTTAGGCATCACTGTGAGTGTTATTCATGCAATCAACATGGCATCTTTTTGTCGGTAGCTTGGTTTTTGACTCATGCCAATACACAGCACGTTCTTTGCTGATGAATAGATTTCTCTGCCTCTTCAGGAGTTGTCTGCTATGGGGTAGGGAGGATGTTGAGTTACACACCTCAAAATGATTGCTAGTGCATACACATGGAATCTGACAAAAGTGACATGTTTTATTCTGGGAAGGGTCGAGAGAAATTGGTGCCATAGTTGTCTTGTTTGATCATTAATTGGCTTACTCCTCCGCCCAACTTAAGTCACCACATTTCCTTCTGGGTAAAATGAGATGGCTGTGCTTTATAATTTCTAGGAGATTATATGACACAAAGTAGAGGCAGCAAATTATTAGCTTCCAAGGAGTTCTGCCCAGGCAATGTGTTAGTTAAGCAGCAGGAGGAAGTAAGCCAAATGGAAGTGTGTGTGTGTTTGGGCAACGCATCTAACTTGAAAGCTGTATAGATAATAAACTCATCAGTCAAAACCAAGCGTAAGAGAATAGGATTTGTGACTAAGTAGGCCATCAACAGAGAACATTTATTAAGGACTTTTTTTATAGAGGAGTGAGGGTGAACTCAAAAAATGTTTCAGGGAGTTTGGCGGAAAGCTATGATGCAATTGGAAGGCGAGGATGCCTGAGGGAGGAGACCTGGAGCCACCTAGGTGTGTAGGCAGAGGGGAGGGAGGTCGGAGGCGGTCCCAGGCCATGTTGCCAGAGAGCCCAGGAGTGCCAGGGCTAGTTAGATAACTTGGAGGAGAAATCTCTCTTTCTCAACATGACTCTTGATACTGAGCATGTTGTGAACCTGTGTGCTCTGGGTATTTCCACATTCTGGATTTTTCCAATCCTTTTGTTAATTTTTGACCGTGATGAGTTCAGGCGTTGGAACACTGTTGTTTATTATGAGTACAGTGAGGATGACTAGATGTAAATGAATGTAAGTAAGGTAACAGCTAGATCTGCCTGAGGTGGAGAGAGACTGGGTGCGAAAAAAAACGGAGAAGTGAAACAGGCTGTCCGGGCTTCGCATTCTGGCTGCATGGAAGCCAGCTCATTGCATTCTCCAGGAGTTCTCTGGGAGTCTGTGGACACAGACTCCACTTTTGTCTTAGGCCTGACTTGTACAAACGTATTCTGTTGTTTGACAGGGGATGGAGAAACACTATAGAACAACTGGACATATTCATTTCATTGCCACATTCTTTATTCAAGTGTGACAGAGAGCAAAGCAGTATAAAGGAGTTGAACTGACTACTGTAGTTTAATTTCAAGTTCGTGTGAATTGGATTAGATTTTTGGGTACAGAAGCTAAGGTAATTTCCGAAAGGTTAGTGCGAATAAGACTGTCTGTGTTCTCAGCGTTGGAAAAACCTGGGGGAAAAAAAGCCTTACAGACTTCTGTTTCTAGAACGTGCTGTGCAGAACTCTAACAGATAGGAGTGTTTATGCAGCTAGGTGACTGCCCTGGTCTGTGCAGTTTCACACCTGTGT